CTAATATGATCTGCCTAATGACCGGCTGGGTGGGTGTGGCAAGGTGGTCATGTGACTGGGTGGGTGTGGCCACCTCAATGTCTCGTTGAGAGGCACCTCGCCAGCCTCTACTCGCCCCTCCCTTCCCAGCCACTCCTCGCCTCCCCGCCCGGGCTCCTTAGGGCCCCAACGAGAAGAAGTTGTTGAAGCTAAGCAGCCACCATGAGAAAGAGTTGGCAAAACAGCTCAGTTCAAATTGGATCTGACCGAGAAGGAGGCTCAGTAGAAGCACCACACTGAGGACTAGGAGCATAGCCTTTCCAAGCAGAGGGAACACCTGCGGGAGTGCAAGGCCAGGTATCGGCGCTTGGAGGCTCAGCAGGCTGAGATGGTCAGCCAGTTCCAGGCCATGATGCCGTCCCACTGGAACAAGGCCCTCCGGCTCTTTGCCACCAGTAGCACTTCCCTCCAGCCTTCCCCAAAGCCCCACACCAGGAGGCTGAAGCAGACACCAAGTCGGAATTTCTGCCCCCCTCCGACCCCCACAAAAAGACCCCGAAGGGGGAGACTCTCTGCAGCAACACAAACGTTCATTGCACGTACTGGTCCCAGGGGCCGTAGTTTGAGGACTCCTGATTTAGTGCAATATAAAAAAGGCAAATAATTTTTCTGCGGACCACCAAAATTTTCTCGTGGACCACCAGTGGTCCACAAAACACCAATTGGTGACCACTGCACTAGAAAGCAGGATTTCGGAATCGAACCGGTAGCATTTCACCCCTGAATTGAGGATTACTTATAATTACAGTGAGAGGTTGCACAGTGGCTGCGTTTTTCTCATCGTTAAGTTAGTGGTTTTCCAGATATTATTGCTCTGGCAACTGTGTGGGGAACTGAAGCGATAAAGTTACCTAACCTGGCAACGAACTGCCTGCAAATAGAATAGCAAAGCTCCGAGATCACCAAGACCCCACATATTCTCCCCCAGAGGTCCATTCCCCAAATAAAATTATTAAAAGAAGAAACTCAGCGGATCCTTTTCATTTTAAATAAACCTTTCATTTCCATTCCATATATTTATTTCTACGTTGCAGTTCACCAAAAAACTGCAGTTCACCATCTGGGAAAGTGGATAGCAAAATTTCAGACCGAATAATAACCTTAACCCTCCTTAAACAGTGGCTAGCTTCTTGCAACTAAACTAAGCGTAACTCCTGATTAATAAGCAGCACTGCAGTATTCACGCAACATACTATAAATCATATATATATATTTGATATATCTTTGATCATATATATATTAATCATATATATTTCATTGGATATCTTGGACTCTCACAATACACTAAACCACAAACTACCTAACCCTGTTTTAGGCTAATCATTGTACACATTCACAGATTTGAGTTTCCTCCATTCCAAACAATTTTTATGCATGTCTATTTACAAGTAACTCTTGTCTAGTTCATCAAGGGTTACTAAATCCCAGATAAATGTAGATAGGATTTCAGCTACAACAGTTAGCATTTCTATCATTATTTACGGGACCTCCTACTACCACAAACAGCCTCCCACCGGCCGGTACACTCTCATAGAGAGGGGCTCCTCTGGGTGCCGCCAGCCAAGCAGTGTCGACTGGCAGCCCCCAGGGGGAGGGCCTTCTCTGTGGGGGCACCCACTATCTGGAAGGAGCTCCCCCCAGAGATACAGAGGATCCCAGACCTGCACACTTTCCACCGTGCTCTTAAGACTCTCCTATTCCAGCAAGCTGGTCTGGCCTAATTTTCTCCCCTTTTAAAGTTTTAAACTGAAATTTTAATTTGTTTTAAATTATTGGGATTTTTAATTGTCTTGGGCTAAATTATTTAATTTGGTTTTAAATTGTTTCTAACTTTTGTATTTCTGTATTTTATTCTGTGCCTGTTCACCGCCCTGAGTCCTTCGGGAGTAGGGGGGTATACAAATTTAATAAAACATAAACAAAACAAACATGAACCTGCCATCCCTTTCTAAGCTGCAAAATGCCATTTTTCTCCTTCAGATCTAAGAACCTTGCAAGATGGACCAGTGCTCTACCGCTAAGTTGTCTGATGTCAAGGATCAAAGCAACGGTTACGTGGCATCTAATATCCAGAATTACTGCAATGTGTATTGGAACATCTGGGCTCCAGTGTGCCAGACAGTTTGGCTTTCAGAATTGAAGCTGATGGTAAGGAAGATGCCAACTGGATCCTGCCTCAAGTTGTCTGCAAGAGCTACTGTTTCCGTCCCTCTCGATGCACACAATATACTGACCCTTTTTTGGTCGCAGACACAGATTGGACTCATAGAATCATAGGGGTAGAAGGGACCTTGGAGGTCTTCTAGTCCAACCCCCTGCCCAAATCAGGAACCTTATACTATCCAGGACAAATGGTTGTCCAATCTTTTCTTCAAAACCTCCAATAATGGAGCATTCACAACAACCAGGAGGCAAGCTGTTCCATTGCTCTTCATCAAAGCGCTCCATGGCATTGGACCTGGGTACCTTCGAGACCGTCTTCTGCCACCAGTAGCCTCCCACCGGCCAGTCCGCTCCCACAGAGAGGGTCTCCTCAGGGTGCCATCGGCCAAATTATGTCGGCTGGCGACACCCAGGGGGAGGGCCTTCTCTGTGGGAGCCCCAGCCCTTTGGAATGAACTGCCCCCGGAAATGCGTAAGATCTCCGACCTCCGTGTATTTCGCTGTGCCCTCAAAACCTTGTTGTTCCGCCAGGCCGGGCTATCAATGTAAAGATTTTAATTGGTTTTAAATATGGGATTTTAAATTTGGGGGTTTTATAATTGAGCCAATTATTTAATAATTTTAATTATTTTTAAATTTTGTCTGTCTTTGTGCTTTTAATCAGGCTGTACACCACCCTGAGTCCTTCGGGAGAAGGGCAGTATAGAAATAAAATTATTATTATTATTATTATTATTATTATTATTATTATTGTTGTTGTTGTTGTTGTTGTTGTTGTTGTTGTTTAATCTTTAGTGAGATTCACAGCCTTTGAGGCTGGTTAATAGCTCAGCAGCTCTAGTCCTAACCAAGGACCTAGGAACTGTTAAGGTATTATTAAGTATTCAGGTATTATAGTATTATTATTATTATTATTATTATTATTATTATTATTATTATTATTATTATTTCATCCTTCCCCCCCCAACCTTTTAGTCCCAGGTCCTTTGATAAGTTAATATAGTGCCTGTTTCTTCATTTTTCTTATATGCCATTTGCTTTTCCCATTAATATTTCATTTGCCCTCAAAAAAATCCAAGGGAACTTTGCTAGTAGATATTTTTTTCCCCCCTGTAGCATCACAACTGTCTTGGAAGGGATGTTAGGGTGAAAATGAAAGAATGTTATGGTAGATTGGGTATTGAAAGCAAATCTCATGTGTCCAAAAGTAATATTTCATCTAGCCTACCATCTAATTTTATTTTATTTTATTTTATTTTATTTTAATTTTATATTTTTATTAAACAGTTTTTTAAAAAAAAACAAACAAAAACAGATATTTACATCTTCTTTTCAACATCTTCGCATCAGTAATCCATATTTATACATTTTCTCTTTCTTATCTTAATATATCTTTTATACATATATTTTTAGTATATTATATATATAATTTTATTGAACCTTGTCGAATAATTAGGAATATTCTACCATAAGAACGGTCCACCATAAGCATATATGGAATTGTAGTATTATCTTTCTTTAAATCCCAGAGTTACCTATTCCTGGAGGCGGACTATTAAATTGGACAGATTGTTTTAATGGACTTTAAAGAAGGATAACTTTCTCCATCGCTTCCCAAACCTCTCAGAAATATATCTTATGCACATGGAACAATACGGGATGACTCCGGGAAGTTTGAAAGCAGCTAAAGAGAATTCAGAAGGGCTGATGATTCATGTGGATGTGGATTAAGGATGGGAGTGAGGAGGAGAAGTAAAGATCAAAGACAATCCTTTCTAACCTCGTTCCTCTAAATCAGAGGTCTTCAAACTTGGCAGCTTTAAGACTTGTGGACTTCCAACTTCCAGAATTCTCCAGCCAGCTATGAATTCTGGAAGTTGAAGTCCACAAGTCTTAAAGCTGCCAAGTTTGAAGACCTCTGCTCTAAATCCTGACAATCTTCCAAGTGAACGAGGACCCCACAAACTATTTGAAATCACTCGAGACTTTCAAGAAAAGATTGGACTTCCATTTGTCAGAAATTATGTAGGGTCTCTCCTGCTTGAGCGGGGGTGGGGGGTTCTATTCTTATTCTTATTCCTATTATTCCTATTCTGACTCGACTCGACCCTACTCTATCCATGGAATGGTTGCAGGAATTGAGACTTTCAAGAAAAGACAGGACTGCCATTTTTCAGAAGTGGTGTCGGGGTCTCCTGCTTGGATGGGGAGGGGGCTGGACTAGATGACCTACAAGGTCCCTTCCAACTCTGTTCATCTGTAAATAAAGTCTCTTCCAACTCTTCATCGGTTAAATTAAACCACCCAAGGATCTTCTCTTTCAGTATCACCCATCCCACCTTTTCCCAACAAGGGGAACTTCTTGGTTTGTCGGGGAGGGTCTACTTCTCATCATCCTTCCAGTCCTATCGTCCGTCCCCCGATTCCTTTCCAAACTTTCAAGCAAAACTTCTTTTTTTTCTTCCCAGCCCTACAAGAGTTCAACCCAGGACTTGAGCTCTCCAGAGACTGGGCAAACCCTCTGCTGAGCTATGAGTTCTGTATGCTTGTCCCATCTCTATATCAGTTTAGGATGGGGGCAACTCAGTTTGAGAGCAAAATCTTTGGAGAGGAGGGGAGGGGAGAGGGGGGGTGGGAAATCAGGAGAAGGAAGAAACGAAAAGAACAGGCATCAATTGTAAACATCAACCCAATTCTTCACACACACACACATGCACATACTCCTCAGCTCACTGATTTTGTTTTGGTTGCCCAAATCGTTCTGTCTCTTTTAGTGCAATAATCATTTGCTGCCTTACCTATCGTGGTTCAGGGCTTCGGAGGCAATTCGCTGGCCGAGAGCGCTTCTCCTGGACCGAGTCTGGGAAGAGAGTCTGGTTTAGCATATTTCACAGGACTTCTCTTCCCAAACCCCTCCCAGGGCCCACCCCTTCCACTGAGGCTGAAATGGGGCGATATCACAATTTTGGCATTTTGTAATCTGATACTATTTTTTTTGTGTGTGGATACCCAGAGTCTTTCCTGCTTCGGAAGCATGGAGAAGAGGCAGGCAGCCAAGGAGGGGGGGGTGAGGGGGTCGCAAACAGCCTTCCATGGAACTTGGATTATAAACAGAAAATCTTCCCTTTTTAAAAAAAATTTTTTTAACTGTCGGATGGACAATATTTGCAGTTTTCTCTGCAGCAGAAGGCGTAACTCAGTCCTTTTTTAAAACTGGAATCCTGCTAAATCGGTGTTTGATGGGGTCCTTGGTGCTCTCTGAGCTTGGTTATTTTCTTGTAGACGTTTCATTACCCCAACTAGGTTTAACAGAGTTGGAAGGGACCTCGTAGGTCATCTAGTCCAACCCCCTTCCCCACCCAAGCAGGAGACCCTACACCATTTCTGACAGATGGCAGTCCAGTCTCTTCTTGAAGGCTTCCAGGGATGAAGCTCCCACAACTTCCAAAGGCAACTTTTGTTCCATGGGTTGATTGTTCTCACTGTCAGAAAATTCCTCCTTATTTCCAGGTTGAATCTCTCCTTGGTCAGTTTCCATCCATTATTCCTTGTCTGGCCTTCGGGTGCTTTGGAAAATAGCTGGACCCCCCTCCTCTATGTTAATATCCTCAAGCATTGAGAGCACCAAGAACCCTTCATTTCAACCTTGAGCTACAAACACCCTCCTTTATTGAAATCAGTTTTTTTTCCCCTCAAAGTGTGGTCTAAAGATTCCTGAGGGAGGGTGTCCTCCAAGATCTTTTTGGGGTCCATGAAATCAAAACTGTTTGCCAGCCTATGTTGAAAAAAAATAGTACAATGTTAACATCCCATCGAAGAATCGTGAGAAGCGATGGTGGCCATTTTAATTTTTAAATAGGATAAATGTTGATTAATATCATCTGTAAAGGTAAAGATCCCCCTCACACATATGTCTAGTCGTTCCCCACTCTAGGGGGCGGTGCTCATCTCCATTTCAAAGCCGAAGAGCCAGCGCTGTCCGAAGACGTCTCCGAGGTCATGTGGCCGGCATAACTCAACGCCAAAGGCGCACGGAACGCTGTTCCCTTCCCACCAAAAGTGGTCCCTATTTTTCTACTTGCATTTTTTACGTGCTTTCGAACTGCTAGGTTGGCAGAAGCTGGGACAAGTAACGGGAGCTACACCCATAGAACAGGGCCCTTTTGGGGTCCTCCATCATTTTTAAAAGTGAGAGGGCTTCCTGAGGGGAAAATAAATTTAAGAAATGCTGTGCTACCATATTGGAATTATAACACCTATCGATTCCTGTCCAAGCTGCTGAAGCTGTTACCGCCCAGTATGACTGGAGACCCAAAGAGACAGAGAGGGACCAATGGACCAAAAGTTAAACGTGTTTTGGAAATCTGAGGGATATGCATTTAGTTCATTTCTTTCTTCTCGCCTATTTTCAGCATTCCTGCAATATGGATCTCATTCTTCTCTTCACTGGAGGGAAGCAGAAGAAGAAGATTATATTCACATAATATAAATGTCTATGGAGAGTCTCAGTCATCCAGGTCAAGGTTGTCCCAAAGGTGCTTTCTCAAGAGGCAACTGGACTTTCTTGGTTTTTCTTTGAAGACGTTTCGCTTCTCATCCAGAAGCTTCTCCAGAAGCTGAAGAAGCTTCTTGGATAAGAAGTGAAACGTCAGCAAAGAAAAACTAAGAAAGTCCAGTTGCCTCTTGAAAAAAGCATCTTTGGGTTCACATAATATACTTCGTGCTTAATTTAACTCAAGATCAAGGGAGGTACTAATACCACTCTATAAAGCCTTAGTAAGACCACACTTAGATACTGCATCCAGTTTTGGTCACCACACTATAAAAAAAGATGTTGAGATTCTAGAAAAAGTGCAGAAAAGAGCAACCAAGATGATGAGGGGACTGGAGACTAAAACATATGAAGAACGGTTGCAGGAACTGGGCATGACTAGTCTAGTGAAGAGAAGGACCAGGGGAGACATGATAGCAGTCTTCCAATATTTGAGGGGCTGCCTCAGAGATGTGGGGGTCAAACTATTTTCCAAAGCACCTGAAGGCCAGACAAGGAATAATGGAAGGAAACTGAACAAGGACTGATTCAACCTAGAAATAAGGAGAAATTTTCTGACGGTGAAAACAATCAACCCATGGAACAGAAGTTGCCTTCAGAAGTTGTGGGAGCTTCATCACTGGAAGCCTTCAAGAAGAGACTGGATTGCCATTTGTCGGAAATGGTGTAGGGTCTCCTGCTTGGGTGGGAGGTTGGACTAGATGACCAAAAGGTCCCTTCCAACTGTTAATCTTTAAAAACTACTCAAGGGGGAGTTGGGCACAAAGACAGGTTTAAACATATAATTCCCAGAGCACTGTCATATGCCTAAGGATATGTAGTTGGACTGTATTATTATTATTATTATTATTATTATTATTATTATTATTATTATCCTTCTCTCCTTTCCTATTACCTGCTCCTATGATCTTATGACTATCACCTGTCTGTTGGTTATATCTTATGATTTATGATTGCATCTGATGACTTATGATTTATCATTTTGTTCCTTGTATGTACACTGAGGGCTGATGCACCAGATACAAATTTCTTGTGTGTCCAATCACACCTGCCCGATAAAGAATATTCTATTCTATTGTGTCCTTGAATTATTCTATTTGTGAGACTTTCACTCCAGTATTGGTCAGGGAGAAACCAAGCACTGTAACTTTATTTATATATTTTATAATGCTTATGAATTGTTCCAATGGAGGCCAACTCTGAGCAGCAAAAATTCCCTGCCTAAAACACCTCTGATCTTAATGCTACTCTTGACTTCACAGCCATCCCCTCAAATGAAATTATTAATATTATTGGCCAAATCTTCACAATTTATTAAAAATTGTGAAGATATAGTAAAAAAAACATGATAGCCAAACATGTTGGAATTAAAGGCATATGCTGAAGGGAATATTCAGAAGTTCTCTTTTGAGCATAAAACAGATCCCAAATGTCATGATTTTGCAGCATGAAATGCCTCTTAAGATGAATCTCACATATTGTTGACTTTTGATTTTTTTTTCCCCAATCTGCTTTAGCTAGAAAAGAGTCGTGTGGACATACCTACTCCAGTGGTATGGGCAGCTCTCCTGTACTAACAACTGTGCTTGTGTAGACAAGGCTGAATGGCGAGTTGTGATGTGGTCCAGACAGTGGGGAAAATACCAGCTCATTCTACAGAAAAGATGCTGAAGCAAGGCACAGAAATGGAGAAAGCATTCATTTGGATATATTAGCATCCCTTCCCAATGGATAGGAAAATTGAAGTTGCCTTCAGACCTTCTTCTCCTGGATCACCTGACATTTAAAAAAAAAAAAAAAAATAATCTAATGGAAAGTCAAACCATGTCCCGAAGCTGTGATTAGAAGTCTTAATGTTTCTCGATGGGAGAAGTAGTTTGATTGGTTGGAGAGGAAAGTGAGAAACGAGGAAATCAGAATCCTATAAGTTTCATAACCTGGATGTTAAAAATAGGAGCTAACTGGGCCTAGAACTTGCCACGCTTTTGAAGAGTTTCTCCCTCCCTGCTTTCACGGGTGGCTCAGTGGCTAAGACACTGAGCTTGTCGATCAGAAAAGTCGGCAGTTCGGCGATCCGAATCCCTAGTACAGGTCACCTGCCTGAGAAGGGGGTTGGACTAGATGACCTCCAAAATCCCTTCCAACACTGTTACTGTTTCCAGTCCTTCTGTTTACACACGTAGCTGCATCCCTTTAGTTATCGGCCATGAATTTATTCATTCACTTATTGATTGTGCTTCAGTTTTGTGGCCAAGGTAGAACACAACGTTAAAAATGGAAGGGATTGTTTAAAGAGCCTTGGTAGTACAGTGGTCTAAAACACCCTGTTATTAACACCAGCTGCCTGCAATTACTGCAGGTTCGAATCTCGCCAGGCTCAAGGTTGACTCAGCCTTCCATCCTTTCTAAGGTAGGTAAATTGAGGACCCAGTTTGGGGGGCAATAAGCTGACTTTGTATAAATATACAAAAGGATGAAGGCTATTGCTTAGCGCATTGTAAGCCGCCCTGAGTCTCCGGAGAAGGGCGGCATATAAATCAAATTAAAAAAAAAAATGCAACCACTAAACTCAGTTCAGGAATCTACAGCATCCTGACAGATTATCTCCTGAGCCTTTGCTTAAATATCGCCACCTCCTAAAGCAGTCCTGTTACATGGCCAATCAGCTCTGAGTATTATAAGTTTTCCTGCCCAGGTTAGCTTCACATTTGCTCTCTGAAATTTCCACCCACTGGTTCATTCAATTCCTGCTCTCTGGAGTAATAAAGGACCGTTTTATATCTGTAATTTGAGGATTCTGGCTGGCCAGTAAAGAAGTCTTCGGAGAGGAATAGCTGGCCTCCTGTAGGTGCTTCATTGCTGGTGGTTTCCAAGACAAGATTGAACAGCCATTTGTCATGTGGGGCGGTGGGGAGGGGTTGGCCTATCCTTTACAGCCCTAGGATTCTAGGATTCTACTCTCTACAAGTCTTAAAATGTTTGGAGAGCATTACTCTACCATGTCTTCCTGTAATTACCTCTTTATGAAGCTCAACACCCAGTCTGGTGCCCATAGCATGACCTGTCAAAATATATTTTGTGACTACATCTCTTGCATAACAGATTCTCTCTCTCTCTCTCTTTCTCTCTCTCTCTCTGTTTCTCTCTCTTTCCATTTCTCTCTCTCCCCCCCCTTTGTCTCTCTCGTCTCTGTCTCTGTTTCTCTCTCTCTCTCATCTCTCTCTCTTTCTGTCTCTCTTTCTCTCTCTCTCTCTCCGTGTCTCTCTCCCCATCTCTCTTTGTCTCTCTCTATGTCTCTCTTTGTCTCTCTCTCTGTCTCTCTCTCTCTCTCTCGT